GGAGTTCGTAGGGATGCTCGGGAACATATGCGAATCCGTGCGCCGAGACCCTCCGCCCCCGGAAAATCCGGAGGAATCCCAAGTAGTCCTCAGAGCTCCCTGAGACATGTAATGAGGCGAAGGAATGCTCAGGAGTCCTGGGGATCCTCAGAAATCCCACGGAATCCTCAGGATTTGGGTTTCCTGACTAGCAATCCTGAAGATTTCTTGGTAGCTTCCGGGAAGTACCGGACAATCAGGCATAGCACTTACCAGCAAGTGTAAGGAATTCCCAAGAACGGTCAGCAACTCATGCGAATCCGCACACCGAGCCCGTTTGCCTCCCCCAGAAAATCTTTCGGAATATGAAGAATTCGGAAGCTCTACAACGATCCGAATGGTTTCCCACTGCGTCTTCGGAGGTACTGCGGATCCTTGGGACTTGCTTGGGATCTCAAAGTACCCGTAGGAATGCCCAGGAGAACGAACAAATACCTACGCCGAGCCCGTCTGGCCACCCCAAGGCATTCTTCGGAATGCTGAGGAGCCCTGTTGAATTTCAAGTGGTCTTTTGGATTATCTCCGTAGTGTAACGAAGCTAAGACATCCATCAGGATCCGTTGGATTTTTCAGGAATCCGAAGTCTAAGGGATCCTCAGGAATCCTCAGGAGTCGAAGGAATCCTCAGTGATCGTTCGCACAACAAGCCGAACACTCATCGGTCTGCTGCCCCTCCTCCTCCTCCTCCTCTTCCTCCACCTCCTCCTCCCTCCTCCTCCTCCTCCCTCCTCATCCTCCTCCTCCCTCCTCCTTCTCCCTCCTCCTCCTCCTCCTCCTCCTCCTCTTCTCCCTCCTTCTCTGTTCGTGACGCCGCTTGTCAAGCCCGAGGCTGGTAACCCGTTGTGAAAGACATGTTTTTTCAGGTCAGAGGGCCAGCAAACACCGTGAACAACATGTGTTTCAGGTTTTTCATGTTCTTTGGGATTGGTGCGCGCTCAGGTGGACATGTTCACAAAACCTGATACATGTCTCCACCACCTCCACCAAGCCTCATTGCGCTGACAGCCACACTCTGCACACCTCCAGCACTCACTCTGCGGCGACTTGGGCACAATGTGACCCGCATGCTGCTTCTTGCCCGGGACAGGCAGTGACTGTAGGACAAGTTGCTCCACCAGGAGCGCACAGGAAACCTCGTCTGGCCAGGCAAACGAGTGACGCTACTGGGGGTCGCTGCTCCCCCTTGCCAGGAATGCCAGGTCCTGAGCCAAAACGCTACGGACTTGAGCCAAAATGGCTACGGATTTCTCCTCCTCGTTCTCCTCCTTCCTCCCTTCTCCTCTTCATCCTTCCACCTCCTTCTCCTCCTCCTTGTCCTTCTCCTTCTCCTTCTCCTTCTCCTTCTCCTTCTCCTCCTTCTTCTCCTTCTCCTTCTCCTTCTCCTTCTCCTTCTCCACCTCCCTCCTCCCCCTCCATTCCCCCCCTCGGTCCTCCCTCCATTCTCCATGCCTCTTCCTGACAATGGGGGCGTTCGTTACGGAATATGCGCAGGATGCTTCGGACCCTGGAGGGTTCCTTATGTGATCAGGGCGCCGATGATACCCATGGCCGTGTTAAGGCCCAGTAGCACGACCACCCCCCTACCTCTTTCGTTCAGTGCGTCGCCCCTGCGTCGCCCATGCGCCGGCCCTAGTTTGCGTCTTTGTCCCAAATCCCGGCCTCCCACAGTGCGCGGGCGACATGTGGCGCGATTTCGGAAGTTCGCTGGCGACGTATAGGTTTCCGACGCTGGCGCAACAGCAGCCAGTCTGGCGGTCGTGGCGCACGCGTAGTTCGACGGCCCGCCAACGCGCTGTGTTTCACATTCGGCACAAAAGGATTCGCTGTTGCGTCTTTTCGGGGAGCGCCAACCGCATTGCGCCCCGCGCCACCATGTTGTGTCGCGCCAATCCTCCTGCCCCTCCCCCTCTCCCCTTCCCCTCCTCGAGCCAAATTTGAAAGCGCTGCGCATATTGTCCCGTTTGCGAACGTATGCGAAGTTTTTTGTTGTGTCAGGCTGCCGTCTTGTCCCCCCTCCCTACTCACCCCCCTGTTGTCCTTCCACCCGCCTGAAACTTCCCTCCCGCCATCCTCGCCCCCGCCGCCCCCCTTCGATTGCCTCCCATCGCTCCCGCCGCCGCTGCGCCGTCCCCGCGCGCCCCCTCCTCGCCCGTCCGTTCCCTTTTCGCCCGCCCTTCCCCCGCCTCACTTCCCTCCTCTTTCTCCCCCCACTGAGTCGGCGGGCGAGACGTCGCCAAGCTGTTGCAGTGACGAATCGACGTTCAAATTCTGACGGGGCGCGCGCGCTTGAAACCGATGCCCCCGTGCGCGCTGCATCACCATGTCGTCTACTGGTCTTTTCGTGCTCGCAGTTCTCACGTGCGTGTCTTGCTCTTGTTGCGATTGTCGCGCGCATTCCTGGATTGATTCGCCAGCAGGCCGTGCAGTTCACATGCCGTCAGAAGTCCACGGCGCCCTTCGAGCGGTTCGCGCGCGACCTGCGCGCGACGCACAAACGGCCCGAGCGACGCACGCGCGACGCGCCCGCAATGCGCGCGCGACACGCGCGCGGCGCACCCCACCCGCGCGCGACGCACCCCCGCCGGCGCGCGACGCCCAAACGATCCGCGCGACGCACGCGCGACGCACGCGCGACGCACGCGCGACGCATGCGCGACGCAGTCTCGACCTTGCCCTCCCCTAGCTTTTCTTCGAGCAGCAATGCGCCGCGGACGTCTGCCCGCCGCGCTTGCGCTGTTCACGAGTGGCGGCTGCTGCGTCTTCATTTACGCCAGGAAGGCCCGTGCTTCGCCCCTCATCCTTCCCTTCCTCCTTCCTCGTCGCCCCTCCTCCTTCGTCACTCCTCCTCCTTCGTCATCCCACCTGCCTCCTCTCCCCCTCTCTCCCCTTTTCCTCCTCCTTTTCCCCGCCTCCCTCTGCCCCCCCCTTCTCCCGCCTCTCTCGTCTTTAATTTACTCCCCCTTGCCGTCCCCTGTCCTTCTTCATTTTCGTTATTCTCCTTCGGCCCCCCCCCCCCCGCGGCCGCGGCGTGGGGCCGCGAAAGGCCCCCCGCCATGCGCGAAAGTCCCCGCCGCTGGCGTTGGAAGAGGAGGATTATGAGGGGGGGGGGGGCAGGGGCGCGAGGCGAGCGCGGCGGCAAGGGCGGCCCGGCAGGGGAAAGGAGGGGGAGGGGGGAGGACGCAGTGAGTGGGTGCTTTTGAGATGGTCGCGTTGGTGATCACGGTCGCGGTCGCGGTTGTCGCCTTGGTCGTGATGGCGGTGGTCGCGCTGCTCGTGGTGGGCGGGTTGGTGGTGGTCACGTTGGTGATCGTGCCGGTGTCGGTCGTTGTGATTGTCGCGAAAAGCGCGGTGGCCATGGTGGTGGAGGCGGTAAAGGTGACGGTCCATATCTTCGCTGTGGACGCGGTTGCGGTCGTGGCCGTTTGTGAATGATCGTGGCGGTGTTAGTCATGGCGCTGGCGGTGATCGCGGCGGCCGTGGTAGGTAGCGGCTGCGGGGACCTGCTTAGCGCCCGGGTGCCCGAATGCGTTCAGCAGCGCCACGGGGTTTAGATTTTAGATGGATTTGCTGATCTGCCGAGGTAACCCAGCAGCCTCCTTCTCACCAAGGGGACCGCTGCGTGGGCGACTTTCTTGTTTTCCGCAGGCGACCGGCCTTTTCGGCGGCCGTGGAGCGGGCGACGCGCTTGCGATCCGCCCCGTGGGTGCCCGCCACGCTGGCGACGCACTCGCCAAAATGCTCCCTTGCGAGGGCGACGCGCACGTTCGCGAGGACGGCCGGCCTTTTCGGCGGCCGACGCACGGGCGGCGCACGGGCGACGAACGCGCGACGCGCCCCTTGTCGCGAAGGGGGGGGGGTCAGCACGCCGGTCGTGTTACTGGGCCTCAACACATGGCCAAGTCTCTTTTGGTGTGTTCACCAGCTTTCAGACACTGGACTCCTTATGCGAGGTTCCTCATCCAATGCCTTCGCCGTATAGATGACTCCTCTCTGTCGCATCACCAGCCGTGTCGTCAGGGCGGGCTGGGCGTCGCGCCCGCGACCTCTTCCGAATCTGGATTCACACGGATGGAGCACAAGTGCGGCGATGGGACAGGCTGCGCCGCCCTCAGGCCAGCGCCGTGCGCGGCCGTGCCGCCAGCGGCCTGGGCCGCAACGCTCCAGGTGTGCGTTGTCTGGCTCGCGCCCACGCGCTCTCTCGCGCACGCGTCCGCCCGCTGTGTGCCCGCGCGCGCACGCGCAGGAGCAAACGCACGCCCACGCACGCGCCCCCACGCTCTTGCACCGGTGGTTTGCCGCCGTGCGTCCGGGCGGTGGCTGGCCGCCACGCGCACGCACCCGCTCACGCTCGCTGGCTCGTTCGCGAGCACGTGCCCTCTCGCGCGTACACGTGCACGTGCACGCAACTCCTGAGATCTGGCGTTGCGGAAGAAGTGCAACAGTCGCGACACAATCACGACCCGAGCCTTGGGTCCCACCTTCCTGCGGCGTTTCACGAGCTGGATCGATCTATGATGGTCCCAGGGTCCGAAGGCTGGCGAAAACGCCCCGTGTGATATAATGATAAGAGGGGGAAGGGGGAGGGGGGGAAGGGGGAGGAGGGAGGAGGAGGAGGGAGGAGGGAGGAGGGAGGAGGGAGACGACGACGACGACGACGACGAGAACCCAGACATCCAGGTCGGCCCAACCCTTTGAGGTTTCCGGGTCATAGCTCACCTCTCTGGCGGCCGTTCGGGACGATCCAGGCATCCTTGGAACGCTCTCGACGAGGCGCAGCTGCTGGAGAGCACCCTGAGGTTCGAAAGCCAGCGAGACCCGACGGACGCGCCCGAAAAACTCGAATTTCGAGGCGAGGCGAGGCGAGCGTCTGGCGCGGCACCTTCCCTGCCTCCCCTGGGCAAACGCCCGCGCGCGCACGCGTGCTCCCCCCCGCCCGCAGCCTGCCTGCCGGCTGGGCGGAGGCGTCGCTGTGGGTGTTCCGCCTCGCGGCCTTCGGGGGCTGGGGCTACGCCCTGACCGCCATCCTCACCTCTACCCAGGCGCGCCTGCAGGGATGATGCTGCTGATGATGACGATGATGATGATGATGATGATGATGATGATGATGATGATGATGATGATGATGATGATGATGATGATGATGATGATGATGACGCTGATGCTGCTGCTGATGATGATGATGATGATGATGATGATGATGATGAGGATGATGATGATGCTGATGACGATGGTGATGCTGATGATGATGCTGATGACGATGATGATGCTGATGGTAACGATGCTGATGATGCTGCTGATGATGTTGTTGATGCTGTTTTTCAGTGTAATGACGACGTTGTTGATGAAGACGATGATGATGATGATGCTGTTGCTGCTGCTGATGATGATGATGATGATTATGAGGATGCTGCTGCTGCTGATGACGATACTGATGATGCTGATGATGATGGTGCTGCTGAGATGATGATGATGATGCTGCTGATGATGATGCCATCGATGATGATGGTGATGATGATGATGATGATGCTGATGTTGCTGATGATGGTGGTGGTGATGAAGGTGCTGCTGCTGTTGGTGATGAAGATGATGCTGATGCTGATGCTGATGATGCTGCTGCTGGTGATGATGCTGATGCTGATGCTGATGATGCTGCCGCTGCTGCTGCTGCTGATGATGATGATGATGGCCTTGATGATGATGATGATGATGATGATGATGCTGATGATGATGATGATGATGATGATGACGATGATGATGATGATGATGATGATGATGATGATGATGATGATGATGATGATGATGATGACGCCTATGCGGTCATGCCCAGAGGTAGGGTCAGCATGTTTAGGATTATTCAAGGAGCTGCCTTCCATCCGCGCATATGCTGCGCAAGTTCAGAGTCTGGTTCCTGGAACGGCAACACGTGTCGCGCTCAATTCGTGAAGTTGTTGGAAGGTTTTACGGTGAACGTACGTGATGCCAGGGCGATGCGCCCATCAGAATTCGGAAGAACATCATTCACTTTCAGGCTTTCGTGTAACACAATGACGAGGCTGGACTGGACCCTGGGCGTTTCCCTGGAGCTGTTTCTCCCTCGATGTTTCGTTGACCTGGACCTGGACTACTGCTTAACTATGTCTTGACTCTGTGCAGGGTTGGACGCCCTATTCTGCAGTCTGATCGCCCTTCATCCGTGGAGCTGCTGGGCATGCACTTGTAGTGAGAAGGGGGCTCGGCGCTCCTTCGGCGAGGGGCCCAGTTTTGGTAACGCGTGTGCCCTCCATCGGTGTACCCGTGGGACCTTCCAGGCTTCCGGGCCGTGGGCTGTGGGGAAGGCTCGGGCGATGCACCCAGCCAGTCCTGCTGTTACGCCTGGCCGTGCCGAGTAGAGGGGCTACTTGTAAGGAAGAGGGACGGAGGAGGAGGAGGAGGAGGAGGAAGACCAGTGTAAACCCAAGGCGCATCAACGACGTTGTAAGAAAACCTCTCTCCAAGTTCCCTCGTCACAAGTCCCTTCAAGACTTTGTTTTCATTGCTGGAAATACCCCTATTCATTAAAAGGCAACCTTTTGAGAACCCCCAGCCGTGCCCAAACACCGTTCCTAGGTCTTCAACACCGCGACTGTCGTCCACAGAATTCTGAATCGTGCCAGAACACTACCCAGGGACTGGAACAGCGCGAATAAACATAACGGTTGCGTCCCGAAAATCTCAAATCATGTCCGAGCACCATTTCCAGGACTCTAACCTTACGAATCCTTCAACCTTCTGTAACACGGAAAATTGTATGCGCGGGGCGCTCATGCTCGAACCACAACTTGAAACGGACCCGCCCTCCATCCTGAAGCTGTTGCGAACTTTGAGACGAATGTGCGTGGCTCTAAGGCGAGAGTCGCACTGTGAAAACCACCCGCCCTCCATTTTTGAAGCTGTAGCAATATGTTCAAACGAATGTGTGTGGCGCTAAAACGGGACGAAGAGCAAGAGGCTGCGCCGGGGTAGGAGGAGGAGGAGGAGGAGGAGGAGGAGGAGGAGGAGGAGGAAGAGGGCCAGTGCAAACCCAAGACTCACCAGCGGGAACTGCCTCGTTGGGAGACAGCCGTTTGAAGACCCTGAAGCGTGCCAACACACCATTCTCGGGACTCCAATGCCACGAATCAACGTCACTGTTGCGTCTTGACGGGCCTGAATCGTGCCAGAACGCCATTCCTGGGATTTCAACAACGCGAACCAACGTAACTGCTGCGGCACGGATGGCTTTCGCCGGGGTTGGCTTTCGCCGGGCTTCGTTTCGCCGGGCTTCGTTTCGCCGGGTTGGCTTTCGCCGGGGTTGGCTTTCGCCGGGGTTGGCTTTCGCCGGGGTTGACTTTCGCCGGGGGTTGGCTTTCGCCGGGGTTGGCTTTCGCCGGGTTGGCTTTCGCCGGGTTGGCTTTCGCCGGGGTTGGCTTTCGCCGGGGTTGGCTTTCGCCGGGTTGGCTTTCGCCGGGGTTGGCTTTCGCCGGGTTGGCTTTCGCCGGGGTTGGTTTTCGCCGGGGTTGGCTTTCGCCAGGGTTGGCTTTCGCCGGGGCCGGGCGGGGAGCAGGCGGGGCAGGCTCAGGGGCAAAGGCAGGCGCCGCCGTCGCTGGCGTGGCCGTCGCCGCCGCCGTGCTGCCCCCCGGGAGCCTTTGAGGCGCGCCGCTTGAGTAGGCGAAAGGGTCGCAGAGACGTGGGGGGGGGGGGTAGGAGGTCCCGGATGCTGCGGGACACTGAGATTTGGGGCGCGCTCGAGTGAGCTCGCGTGAACCCTGACGGGCGGGTCGTGTTGGGCGGGCGGGCCCTGACGGGCGGGGCGGGTCGGGTCGGGCCGTGCGGACCCTAACGGGCGGGTCGGGTCGGGCGGGCGGGACGCTAAAAAGTGCGGGGCGCGCTCAAGTGGGCACGCGTGAGCCCCAGCGTGCGGGCCCGATCGGGTGGGCGGACCCTAACGGGCGGGACGCCACGTTTTGGAACGAGAAGCGCTGGTTCGTCCACCAGGAACACCCCTATACTTGCCGGGGGGGCGTGGGCGCCGCCCCAGCGTGCGGGCCCGATCGGGTGGGCGGACCCTAACGGGCGGGACGCCACGTTTTGGAACGAGAAGCGCTGGTTCGTCCACCAGGAACACCCCTATACTTGCCGGGGGGGCGTGGGCGCCGCGGGTCGAGCGGACCCTCACACGTGGGCCTGGACGGGCGAGCGGATCCTAACGGGCGGGGCGGGTCGGGTCGGGTCGGGCGGACCCTAACGGGCGGGTCGGGTCGGGCGGGCGGGACACTGAAGTGTGGGGCGCGCTCGAGTGAGCACGCGTGAACCCTAGTAGGCGGGCGGGCGCGCGAGTTTCGGGTCGGGCGGGCGGGCGAAGCGGGTCGGGTCGGGTCGGGCGGACCCTAACGGGCGGGTCGGGTCGGGCGGTCGGGACACTAAAGTGTGGGGCGCGCTCGAGTGAGCACGCGTGAACCCTGACGGGCGGGTCGGGTCGGGTCGGGCGGACACTGGCGGGCGGGGCGGGCTCGGGGTCGGGCGGACCCTAACGGGCGGGTCGGGTCGGGCGGGCGGGGCACTGAGGTGTGGGGCGCGCTCGAGTGAGCACGCGTGAACCCTAACGGGCGGGTCGGGTCGGTCGGGCGGACCCTAATGGGCGGGACGGGTTCGGGCCGGGCGGACCCTAACGGGCAGGTCGGGTCGGGCGGTCGGGACACTGAGGTGTGGAGGCGCGCTCGAGTGAGCACGCGTGAACCCTGACGGGCGGGTCGGGTGGGGCAGGCGGACCCTGGCGGGCGGGGCGGGTCGGGTCGGGTCGGGTTGACCCTGACGGGCGGGTCGGGTCGGGCGGGCGGGACACTGAGGTGTGGGGCGCGCTCGAATGAGCACGCGTGAACCCTAACGGGCGGGTCGGGTCGGATCGGGCGGACCCTAATGGGCGGGACGGGTTCGGGCCGGGCGGACCCTAACGGGCAGGTCGGGTCGGGCACGAGGGACACTAAGGTGTGGAGGCGCGCTCGAGTGAACACGCGTGAACCCTGACGGGCGGGTCGGGTGGGGCAGGCGGACCCTGGCGGGCGAAGCGGGTCGGGTCGGGTCGGGCGGACACGGGCGGGTCGGGTCGGGCGGGCGGGACACTAAAGTGTGGGGCGCGCTCGAGTGAGCACGCGTGAACCCTAACGGGCGGGTCGGGTCGGGTCGGGCGGACTCTAAGGGCGGGCGGGCTCGGGCCGGGCGGGACCCTGACGGGCGGGTCGGGTCGGGCAGGCGGGACACTAAAATATGGGGCGCGCTCGAGTGAGCACGCGTGAACCCTAACGGGCGGGTCGGGTCGGGCCGGGCGGACCCTAACGGGCGGGGCGGGTTCGGGTCGGGCGGACCCTAACGGGCAGGTCGGGTCGGGCGGGCGAGACACAGGTGTGGAGGCGCGTGAGCACGCGTGAACCCTGACGGACGGGTCGGGCGGGGCAGGCGGACCCTGGCGGGCGGGGCGGGTCAGGTCGGGTTGGGTGAACCCCGGCGGGGCGGGTCGGGTCGGGCGGGCGGGACACTAAAATGTGGGGCGCGCTCGAGTGAGCACGCGTGAACCCTAACGGGCGGGTCGGGTCGGGTTGGGCGGACACTAACGGGCGGGGCGGGACGGGTCGGGCGGACCCTAATGGGCGGATCGGGTCGGGCGGGGGGACACTGAGTATGGGGCGCGCTCGAGTGAGCACGCGTGAACCCTAACGGGCGGGTCGGGTTGGGTCGGGCGGACCCTAACGGGCGGGCGGGTTCGGGTCGGGCGGACCCTAACGGGCAGGTCGGGTCGGGCAGGCGGGACACTAAAGTGTGGAGGCGCACTCGAGTGAGCACGCGTGAACCCTGACGGGCGGGTCGGGTGGGGCAGGCGGACCCTGGCGGGCGAAGCGGGTCGGGTCGGGTCGGGCGGACCCTAACGGGCGGGTCGGGTCGGGCGGGCGGGACACTAAAGTGTGGGGCGCGCTCGAGTGAGCACGCGTGAACCCTAACGGGCGGGTCGGGTCGGGCCGGGCGGGCGGGGCGGGTCCGGGTCGGGTCGAGCAAACTCTAGCGGGCGGGTCGGGTCGGGCAGGGAGAATATTGAAGTGTGCACGTACGCTCGAGTGAGCACGCGTGAACCCTAACGGGCGGGTCGGGTCGGGCGGGCGGACCCTAACGGGCGGGGCGGGTCGGGTGGGGTCGGGCGGACCCTAACGGGCGGGTCGGGTCGGGCGGGCGGGACACTAAAGTGTTGGGCGCGGCGGGACGAGCACGCGCGAGCTTTAACGGCTGGGTTGGGTCGGGTCGGGCGGACCCTAACGGGCGGGACGGGTCGGGTCGGACTGGGCGGACCCTGACGGGCGGGTCGAGTCGGGCGGGCGGAACACTAAAGTGCCGGGCGCGCTCGAGTGTGCATGCGCGAACCTTAACGTGCGGGTCCGATCGGGCGGGCGGACCTAACGGGCGGGGCGCGTCGGGCGGACTCTAACGGGCGGGTTGTGTCGGGGCCGGCCCGGGGCCCTTGCCCGGGACCCATGTCCGCTGCCCCCGCGCTCCTGATGGACGCGGAGCATTTGTAGCACTCCCACATTGAGATGCCTTTCTTGCTGGTGTGCTTGATCCTGTAGCAGTAGCCTGCGTGAAGCAATTTGAGCCCACGCCGGTTCGTTGGCACCAAGCGAGGGCTAGCGGCCTCGGGCACCGCGGCTGGGGCGGCAGCGCCGGCCAGGGCGGCGCTGGGCCCCGTGGCGCTGAACCAAGCGAAAACGAGCCTGGGCGAAAGCCAACCCGGGCGAAAGCCAACCGGGCGAAAGCCAACCCGGGCGAAAGCCAACCGGGCGAAAGCCAACCCGGGCGAAAGCCAACCGGGCGAAAGCCAACCGGGCGAAAGCCAACCCGGGCGAAAGCCACCCCAAGCGAAAGCCAACCGGGCGAAAGCCAACCCGGGCGAAAGCCAACCCGGGCGAAAGCTAACCCGGGCGAAAGCCAACCCGGGCGAAAGCCAACTGGGCGAAAGCGAACCCGGGCGAAACGAACTGGGCGAAACGCACTGGGCGAAAACCAACCCGGGCGAAAAGCATCTACGCCACTGCTGCGCCCTCACAATCCAGAGTCCTTCCAACACAACATGTTTGATACGTTGACCGTGGACATCCGTAGAACTCTCTTTGTTTGAGCGAGTGTGCGCGGCGCCAAGGCGAGAGCCACATTTTGAATAGCAGACGCCGCTGGTCCATGAACACCTGGCATTTTTCAAATGAATGTGCGCGGCGCCAAAAAGTCGAGAGTGACATTTTTAAACGACCTGCCCTCAATCCGTGAAGCTCTTGCGTTTATTGTCAATCGAATGTGAACGACGCTAAGGCGAGAACCACATGTTGCAAACCACTCGCCCGCAATGCGCGAAACTCTTGCAAATTTTAGAACGAAGGTGCGCGGCGCTAAAGCGAGAGCCACATCTTGAAAACGATTCGCCATCGATCCGTGACGTTCTTGTCAAAGTTTTAAATTGCATGTGCGTGGCGCTAAGGCGAGAGCCACATTTAGAAAACCACCCGCACTCAACCCGTAAAACTGTTGCGACTTTCTAAGCTTTAGGGCCATAAATGGTGAGGAGGTCTCAGGCGAAACGCCCGGTCCGCCCCTTTCGACCGGCCTCGGCTTGCGACACTGAGGAGTTACTCATAAGGAAAAGGAATGGAGTATGAGGAGTATGAGGAGTATGAGGAGGAGGAGGAGGAGGAGGAGGAGGAGGAGGAGGAGGAGGAGGAGGAGGAGGGGAAGGGGGAGGGGGAGGGGGAGGAGGAGCAAGAGGAGGAGGGGGAGGAGGAGGAGTTCTGACCGCTATTCTCGCCCTGGCCCGCCAGCACCTTCATGCCTCCCCCCCTGGCTCTTGTCCACGAGGGCGGCCCTGTGACCGCGGGGCAGGCGCGGAGTGATGTTTTTTTTCGTTAGCCCTGAGGCCGCTCATCTTGCGTTCAGTCCCGTTCTCCTGGGCACGCGCGCTATTCGGACTCGGGCGCCCCGGGTGTGAGCTCAAGGGTTTCCACGGTTCGGACGGCTCGGCCGCGTCACCGACGGTTGCTTTCGGTCGATTCGATTCGGTCGGCTGTTTCGTCGTTGCTGCGCCGTTGCGGCCTCCTCGGCCGCTTTCGATAGAATTGGTTTCGGTCGGTTTTTGACTGGTTGTCGGTTAGGCCGTCGCCGTGCATGGCCTTGGAACTGCCTGTCGAGAAGCAGCAGGCATCGATCACGGGGCACCCCGAGCCAGACTTGCCGAGCGATCGAATTCTGAGGCCGCGCGCGTTTGTACGCATCTGCGGTGGGCGGAATTCAGGACCGCTCACCGTGGGCCCCCCGAGCCTCCTGTCCTTGGTATGGGCCGCGCGGGCCCACGGGCGAGCGCCGCCCTGCTGGAGCGGTCGCCTCTGCGGGCGCCTCGTCCGCCCACGCGTGTCTTCCCGATGGGGCAGGGGGAAGGGCCTCATGAGGTCCGTTCACGGACCACGGTTCGTCATGTTTGGCGTGAGTTTTGGTCGGGCTCATTTCGGCCTCGGCCACGTGAAAATCGGACATGCAGTCTCAGTGCCTCGAAGGCCCCGAAACTTGCAGTCACCAGTGCTTGATGGCGTTACTCGTGAACTTGTGCTGCGCCAGAACTGTATCATCCGCACGACGCTGAATTGAGGGGCACTTTGGGTTCAGAAGGGGCTCTGCTTTTTTGGCCGTTCCTTGAATCTAGAACGGGGGGTCTATTCGTGGCTGGGGTTCTCCGTGGCCAGGTAAGCCCTTTGGTTCCGTATTTTAGTGTTCCATCCGGTAGCCCGATGATTGTAAGGCTTTCTCACATCTGTGCCTCTCGTCAAGCGAGCATCGACGCACATTTGCTCTCAGTCGTGCTGGTCCTCTGTGGCCGCTTCTCTGGCAAACGCCGGCGGTGCTCCGCAGTCTGAAGTCTGACGACCTGTTCTGTCCTCGTGTCCGAAGAGCCCAGCTTTGACTTTTAACAGCTGACGGTTGCGCTTGTCTCTCACACACACACACACACTCCAAGAGATCTCAACATGTCAATGGGTTTCGAACCAGAATGAGAGCACTTATTCTTCCGAGGCCGCAGTGGTATGAGTGGGGGAGAGTGAGCCGCCCAGGTTGTGGCCTTCCACATCAGCATCCTGAGCTTCGGGGAAAGCTCCATGGAGCTCGGGGCCATGCTCGGCGTCTGCGTCTATCCGTGGCGCCTGGCGGCCGTGTCCGCGATCGCGCTGGGCGGTTAGGTGGGAGGGGTCAGGTCAGGGCCGCGGCATCTGCGAGCCTTGGCCGACGCCGCTGACATGTGAGGCTGCCACTGGAAAGAGCCGCGGCCGTCACGGGCGTGGCGCGCTGGCCAGGACGATGCATGGGAGCGTTTTTCCCCCAACCTTCCTGTGTGTTGGGTCCTCGTTTTGAGTTCGCAAAGCCGCGCGCCTCCTACTCCTCTTCCTCCTCCCCCTCCTCGTCCTCTCCCCCTCCTCCTCCTCCTCCTCCTCCTCCTTCTCCTCCTCCTCCTCCTCCTCCTCCTTCTCCCCCTCCTCCTTCTCCTCCTCCTCCTCCTTCCTCTTCACCCGTCTCCTTTCCTCCTCCGCCTCAGCTTTCCCTCCACATCGCCCTCGTCCTCTTCTTCCCTCTTCCCATCGCCATCACCACAACCACCATCATCCTCCTCACCACCATTCTAATTATCATCGTAATTTGGTCGTACCCCTCAGACGTTTCGTGGCCCCATGGGGAGCTCCACCGAAGGCCCCAGTGACAGGGTCTGCATGGTTACCTGGGACACCCCTCACATGTTTCGTGGCCCCATGGGAGCTCCGCTGAAGGCTCCAGTGGCAGGGTCCGCGTGGTTACTCGGAGCCATTCCAGCACACCCCTCACACGTTCGTGGCCTCATAGGGCGCTCCGCCGAAGGCTCCAGTTGCAGTGTCCACATGGTTACTCTGTTCCATTCTGGCACACCCGTCACACGTTCCGTGGCCCCATAGGGAGCTCCGCCGAAGGCCTCAGTGGTAGGGGTTTGCATAGTTACTCGGGTCCATTCTGGCACACCCCCGCACGTTTCGTGCTCAGTGGTAGGGCTTGCATGGTTACTCGGATCCATTCTGGCACACCCCTCACACGTTTCGTGTTCAGTGGTAGGGTTTGCATGGTTACTCGGGTCCATTCTGGCACACCCTTCACACGTTTCGCGGCCCCATAGGGAGTTCCACCAAAGGCTCCAGTGACAGGGTCAGCGTGGTTACTCGAATCCATTTTGGCGCGCTCCTCACACGTGTCGTGGCCTCATAGGGCGCTCCGCCGAAGGCCTGTGTGGCAGGGTCCGCATGGTTACTCGGGTCCATTTTGGCACATCCCTCACACGCTTCGTGGCTCCATAGGGAGCTCCGCCGAAGGCTCCAGTGGCAGGGTCCGCATGGTTACTCGGGTCCATTCTGGCGCATTCCTCACGCGTGTCGTGGCCTCATAGGGCGCTCCACCGAAGGCCTGTGTGGCAGGGTCCGCATGGTTACTCGGGTCCATTTTGGCACAATCCTCACACGCTTCGTGGCCCCATTGTGAGCTTATTCGAAGGACCCAGCGGCAGGGTCCGCATGGTGACTTCATGGTCACCTTCCCGTATGTTATTTGAGTCGCGTGAGTGAGTGGCGAGCCTGGTCCGACGTTCTCATGCGAAGTTTCTGGGGTACCTCGGACCCCCCAACGAGTTCTTGTGCATTGAGCGTTCCTGTTGATAGTTTCCACGCGTGTAGAAATTGCTGGGTTCTTCGCCCTTTTTTTTAGTCGTGGGGAACGGGGGGGGGTCTGTCGTGGGTGGGGAAAAGGCGATTGAAACGGAGGAGGAGGCGGAGGAGGAAAAGGAGGAGGAGGGGAGGAGGAGGAGGAGGAGGAGGAGGAGGAGGAGGGGGAGGGGAAGGAGGAGGAGGAGGAGGAGGAGGAGGAGGAGGAGGGCGAGGAGGAGCAGGAGCAGGAGCAGGAGCAGGAGGAGGAGGAGGAGGAGGAGGAGGAGGAGGGAGAGGCATTACTACTGCATGATTTGCTGAGCCAGGGCAGGGTACTTCTAGCATGGGCGAGGCCTGTTTTGCAGTATAATGCAGAGCGGGCGCGGGAAACTGGATTCGGCCACGAGTCAAACAGCGTACGTAAGTCCCAGAGTCCTCCTTCGCTTTCCCGCCAGCAGCCCCCTCGACGGGGCCGGCGGCCCTCCAGCTGCTCGGGCTCTATCTCTGCGACGCGGCCACCATGGTCGTCCTCGGGCGGTGCGGCGCCGACAGGCCCCTGGCAGAGGACGTCCGCGCCGCCGCCCAGCGCCCCGCCCCCCCAGAGCCTCGTTGCATCGTGAAAGAATCGCGACGTAAGGGTTTTCGCTGTTTGCGGCCTCTGGGGCCCTCACCGGGCCTCGGGACCGTCGAACAACGACTCGGGACGAAAGCCAGTGTCCGGACGAAAGACGACTCGGGACCGTCAAAAAAACGACTCCGGACGGCTCGGGTCCTGACCTCTGCGGGTGCCACGCCACGGAAACATCACGACGTCGGGGTCTGGGCCTACGGATCTTCTCGGGGCCGAGCCCCTCGATCTCCCTGCGCCCCACTGATGCTCGGGGTGTGGACTTCTTCGTCGGCTCCTGTAGGCTTTGTCCTGCCTCTGGCTGCGCTCCAGCAGCCGCCCCTCGCCGAGAGCGTCCCAGGGGGGGGGGGCCCTTCGCCAGAGTGGCCCTCGGTGCACGGCTGAGCGTGCTTCCCCAGTTAGGCTTTGCCTGATGGGCTGCTCTCGTGTTTGTGAAGGCCCAGGGGGTGCCCGGCCTGGCTGGCCCGCCTCCGCCGGGACTGCCCCGTTGCCCAACCGTCCTCGGGCTGCCCGGCCTTGCCGGGCCTTCCTCGACTTGCCCAGTTGCCGGGCTCGGTTGCCCAGTGCCGGGTTGCCCAGTTGTCCAGTTGCCCAGTTGCCCAGGGTTGCCCAGTTGTCTCGTTGCCAAGCAAGGCAAGGCACATCAATGCCAAGCAAAGTAGAGCAATGCCAAGCGATGCCAGGCAATACCAAGCAATGCCAAGCAATGCCAATCCATGCCGGGCAGCGCGAAGCAATGCCAAGCAACACCAAGAAACGCTCAGCCATGCCAAGCAACGGCAAGCAACGCCAAGCAATGTTAGGCAAGCAATGCCACAGCAACGCGCAGCAAAACACTGCCTTCATTGCTTCCTTAACTACTTAGGAAGCTCTCCCCCAGTGGGGCGCGCTGGGTTCGTTTGGCATTTTCGTCGGTTCATGGAGGTTTTCTTGCCTCGGGATGTGTTTCAGCAGCCGCGCCTTGCCGGGAGCGCCCCGGGGGGTGCCTGGCGGCAGTGCCAGGATAGTCCTGGGCGGCCGCCAAAGGCCCGAGCTGTGACCCAGAAGCGGTGCGACACCCCCGGCGTCGCTTCTTTCCCCGCGTCCGTCTCCTCGTCATCCTCCTTCCTTCCTCCCTCCTCCTTGTCCTTCCTCCCTCCTCCTCCTCCTCCTGCTCCTCCTCCTCTTCCTCTTTCTCCTCCTCCTCCTCGTCCTCCTCCTCCTCCTCCTCCTCCGCCTCCTCGCGTCCTCCTCCTCCTCGTCCTCCTCCTCCTCCTCCTCCTCTCCTCCTCCTCCTCCTCCTCCTCCTCCTCCTCTCCTCCTCCTCCTCCTCCTCTCCTCCTCCTCCTCCTCCTCCGCCCTCCTCCTCCTCCTCTCCTCCTCCTCTTCCTCCTCCTCCTCCTCCTCGTCCTCCTCCTCCTCCTCCTCCTCCTCCTCCTCCTCCTCCTCCTCCGCTGCGATGCACCCTGCACGCGGCGGCGTTCCGAGCGGTCTCGAAGTCTCTCTCGGGGTGGCGGGCGTACAGGGACAGGCTCAAGGATGCCGCCGAGCTCTATCTACTCAGGAACGGTTACACACCACAAGTGATCCTCCGACTTCTGGGCCTACGGGAAGGCGATCGTGCAGTGGCTCGCCGAGGTGGTGGAGCACAGGGTGGGCGGCCGAAAGTGGCATGAGCATTCATGCCATGCCGAACTCGCCGCCCGCGCGGCTGCCCCCATGCCCTTTTGCAGTCGGCACGCATAGCAAAACGGGCACAGGATGCCTGGTGCCGCCTGGACGACCGACACCCTCAATGCGCGCCGCGGTTTCCAGGTTGCGTGCCACAACTACTTGCACGGTAGCCTCCTCCACGACGACATGGCGTCCATCATCGGCTGGAGGCTGCCGCGCTACTTTCAGCCACGCGCAGAGGGGGGTTGGAGGAGAGGGGAGGGCTTCTTTGAAGCACCCCCCTGCTTCTTAGAAGGCGCGGGCCTTATCTATAGATGTAAGGCTGGCGCCTTCAAAGAAGCAGCCTCCTTCTAAGAAGCCCCCCCCCTCCTCCACCCCCGTGTGCGCACCGCCAATACTTCCCTGCCAGAGGGTGCGGCCCGCCGCCTGACTTGCAGTAGAGCTGGACCCGCCTGCAGGCAGGGCTGCGCCGCCAGAATCCCGCGGCTGCCTGGCCGGTGCAGAGCAAGCCGACGGGCGGCTGGACCACGCGCGAGCGGAGGCACCTACTCCCTACTCGGCCCGCGCCCATGTGTCCTCAGCTGCCAGGCCGCCGACTCTCCGTACCACTATCAAGTCGGGCCTGTCCCTCTACAGGAGGAACATCAAAAAACAGGCAGAAATAGTATGGGAACGATTTTTTGAATATCTGTTTGCCTACTACTTTGGGGTATTTTTGGGGCATGTTTTGTTTTTCGTCCAAAGTTGGCTGTAAGGGTACATGCCCGACCTAATACCACTACCTCCACGACTGCTCGCGCATGGAGGGTGCGCTCCGTGCGGGCTCCGAATACTGGAGAGGAGAAGGCCTTCTTGCCCGGCTGGGGCCGCACACGCCGGAGGTGATGAAAGCCTCCGATCGCCAGATCGACCTCTCCATCTTCGACGCCGCATTCCACATCTGCAACGAAGCGAAGGAGTTCGATCGGCGCCGCCCCAACATACTAATACTATATGTGCGTCGCCCCCCTTGGAGCGACGCGCGCACCGAGCAACCTTATACTTAGTGTATGCGTCGTGGCGGGCGCTTCCTGGCCACGCCGCCCCTCCCCCGCTCCTCCCCCGCTCCTCCTCGCTCCTCCCCGCCCCTCCCCCGCCCCTCCCCCGCTCCTCCTCGCTCCTCGCTCCTCCTCGCTCCTCCTCGCTCTTCCTCCTCCTCCTCCTCCTCCTCCTCCTCCTCCTCTTCTCTCCTCGCTCCTCCTCCTCCTCGTTCCTCCTTGCTCCTCCTCGCTCCTCCTCCTCGCCCCTCCGCGCTCCTCCCCCGCCCCTCCCCCGTTTCTCCTCGCTCCTCCTCGCTCCTCCTCGCTCCTTCTCCCTCGCTCCTCCTCGCCCCTCCTCGCTCCTTCTCGCTCCTTCTCCCTCGCCTCTCCTCGCCCCTCCTCGCTCCTTCTCGCTCCTCCCTCGCTCCTCCTCCTCCTTCTCCTCCTCCTCCTGCTCCTCCTCGCTCCTGCCGCTCCCGCTGCTCCTGCCGCTGTCGCTGCCCCTGCCTCTCGCGCTGCTGCTGCTGCTGCTGCTGCTGCTGCAGCTCCGCCTCCTCGCTCCGCCGCTCTCCGCGGGGGGACCCCCCCCCCTGGCCGAGCTCGGCCAGGGAGGGGCCGCGGCGCCGCCTGGCGGTGTGGCCTCCTGGGCCGTTTGGCGGGCGTGCTCTCGGGGGTCGCCTCGGGCCGTTCCTGGGAAGGGCCCCGAGGCGGCTCCCAGGACCATTCCCGGGGGGGGCCGCCTCGGGGCCGCTTCAGGGGGCACCCCTGTGCCGTCTTGGGCAAAGCCCTGGGGGCCGCCTCGGGCCATCCCTGGGGGCCGCCTTGGGGGCCGCCATGGGCGCATCCTTTGGCGCAGCCCTGGCGCCATTTCGGGAGCGCTTTCGGGGCCTCCCGGGGGCCGCCCTGGGACGAGTCCTGGAGGGGGCATGCGTGGGGCCTCTTCCGGGGGGATGCCCCTCTCAGCGGGCCTCTCCCCTCCCTCGATTCTGAATCCCTCTCCTCTCCCTCGATCCCGCTCTCCTCTCCGTCGGTCCCACCCCCCCGCCCTCTCGAGCCCTCCCCCTCCCCATCCCTCTCAGGGGCCTCTCCTGGAGCGACTGGCCTGCCCCGCTTCGCTCTGGCGGCTTCGCCGCGGCGGAGCGGGGCGGGCCCGGCGCAGTGCCTCCAAGGCCCAGGGGCCTTCTCGAGGGCTTCATTGGAGACTTCCTCGCGCCGTGAGAGAAAGAGCACGACGGAAGCTGCTTCACGATTTTCGGCCTCTGGGGGTCCTTCCCAGCCCTCGGGGCGGTCAAAGGACGACTCAGGACGAAAAGCTGGTTCCTTGGAAAGGGTCCAGACCCTTGGGGGATGCACGTTGTGAAAACATTACGACGTCTGGGGTCTGGATCGGATGCTGTTGGGACCCTCCTGAGGCTTGAGGTAACCTTTGGCATCCTTATGACCTTGGAGCCCTGCATTGGCCGCGTTAGGAGCCATCTCCTGAGTGTCAGGGAGACCTTGGAGGCCACTAAGGAGGTGTCGCGGTGACCAAGGGGCCTCGGGAGGGGTTCTGGTGCACGCGAATGGATGCTAAAGCGAAGAGGGGGTTCTCATTGCAGGAAGCCCGCATGGCAGCCCTGGGAGTATACAGTCCGCCACGCGCCACGAGGCACCGCGGAAGATCGAAAGATCCGAATGTTGATGAGCGTCCGTGCTTTTGTACGTGATCAGTTAATTATGGCCATTCTGAACTACATGTAGTGATAACTCATCGGCACTACCACATCAGCTAGTAGCTGATACATGTGAATCGCATGTCACATACTTCGCAGCCATGACATGTTTTGGGCATTGGTATACGGCCTCTGCTGTGCTGCTCGTGCTTCAGCACGCAGTTGATGAAAATAAAAGCGTGTGCACATGTGTACCCGCCCCAAACTAATATCAGTGTTTCCGTCTCTCTCTCTCTCTACCCTCTCTCTCTCTATATGCATAAACTTTTAGAATTCAGATTTTGACATTCGCACATTCTCCTTTCTCGTTTAGCTCTTCAGTTTCTCTGCCTCTGTCCGTCCTCCCACCACCTCCTTGCAGGCAGACCCTGAGATCCTGGCGTCGCTTGTTTTTAGATTCGGGCGGTTTTCGTTCGGACCCTCACATATCGTTACGGCTCGAAAGATGCTTCAGAAAATGGGGTCCTGTGCTTTGGTCGTGAATTTTCGCGATGTTTTTTTGGTTTGCTCGCGTCGTCGGATCTCAGGGGAGCCTGCTATAACATCCGGGCAGGGCACTGCAGCTGGTCAGCACCTCGCCTCAGAAGCTGTCGGTGCTCTTGCTGTTTCTACGGCGCCGCCGAGGGGCGCGATGGCGGTGGCCTGGGGGGGGGGCTGCATGAGCAGAGATGAAATCGCAGTGAATATAGGCAGAATAGAAAATGGAAGATTGGGAGGCTGTCGATTCAGTGCAGCTCGTATTTGTCCTAGTAGAGTGCCAGCCGACGCAACGCAATGCAAACAGTTCAGGGTAGAACGCTGGCAGAGCAGGCTGTGCAGCGCAAGGCCATGCGCAGCGAAGCACAGCAATGCAATGCGAAGCGATTTGAAGCAGCCCGGGTACCTCCCACGGGACGGACGACAGGGGGGAATGGGAAAGGGCAGGTTCAGGTTTTTTTGGACCCCTCGCGTATGCCCAACAGCCTTGTTCCTACGTCAGTGGACGCTGAGCTTGCTTCTGGGCCGGGCGTTGCTTCGTACTGTTTTTTCCTTTGCTTCGGCTCGGCCCGCCCTAGCTTTGCCCAGCTTTCGACCTGCTTCGCGAGCCCGCGAACCAAAAAGTATGCCCAGCAGCCTATCCAGAAACGACCGCCAGGCGTCCTGTGGCACATGTGCCTTCAGACGTTTTCCTGTTGCCTTCGGACTTCCCGTGGTGTACGTGTCTGCAGACATCTGGTGGTACCTGCGGCATCTTTGTCTCCAGACGTCGCGTGTAGGACAGAACGTTGCGTATCATGTTGCCTCTGGACGTCTTGCGGTATGCTTTGGTGGGAGTGTCTTGCCGCGGAGTGGCCCGCAGGACTTGTCGTGGCTTCTCCGAGCCCGGGCGCCTTATGACACATGCCACTCTCGACGTCCTGAGGTGCAGCCCTGGTGCATGCCGCAGGACGTCTTGTGGTGTAGTTGCATGTGTCCAGGTGTCCTGTGGTAGATTCATCTCCGAACGCCCCAGCGCCAGCATCGACTCGAGCATTGACACCAGCGCAGACGCCAGCATCCACTCCAGAGACTATCGAGAACCCATGCCAGCAGCAAGCCAGCGACCAGCTCCGCATCGCCAACGCCGCAGCACCAGAACCAGCCCCCACGACATCACTGAAGCCAGCTTCGACATCAGCACAGAGCACAGCACCGACCCCAGCGCGTAAGCCTGCACCAGCTCCCACGACAGCACCGAAGCTGGCCCTCCGACGCGCCCATCGACAGAGCACGAAGGCAACAGGTGCGCTTCGCCGACCACCCGTGCGACTTCATGCCTGACGCTCCCCCCATCGCCATATTGGATGCCCCCCCTGAATCCCCCTCCGACGTCGCAGCCTGCGAACCACCCGCCTCCCTGCCAAAACAGCCACTTGCGCCAGCATCGACGCCAGCGCAGATGACAGCATCGACTCCAGCTTGGGAGCCTGCATCGTCGTCCGCACCAACGCCACTATCGACCCCGGCAGAGACCCCGACACCCACGCCAGATGACCACCCGGGAGATGAAGACCATGGCCGAGTAGGTGGCAGGGGCGATAGAGGAGGAGCACCGGCGCCGCCGACACCAGGGGCCGCGCCAGCATCGACGCCAGCACAGGAGCCTGCATCGACCTTTGCACCGACGCCAACATCGACTCCAGCAGCGACACCAGCATCGACGTCACCATCGACGCCGGCATCAACGAGAGCATTGGCACCAGCACTCGCGCCTGCAGCGATGCCGACATCGACGCCAGCATCGGCACCAGCACCGAAGACAACAATGACCCCAGTATTGCAGCCAACGCCGACGCCAGTACCGACACCCGTAACGACCATTTCTGCCACCACGTTATCGGCCACGCGGCCGGGGCACAAGAGTTTGCACCAGAAGGTTTCGAAGTGCGTGGCTGCGCCGACGCGAGCACTTGCCCCGGCGTCGGTGCCAGCACCAACGTCACAACCAACCCCAGCAGCAACGCTAGCATCGAAGGCAGCACTGACTTTAGCACCGAAGCCAGCATCAACGTCATCACCGACACCGGATTCTACCCCAGCTCCGACGCCAGCACAACGCCAGCGCCGACCCCCGCACGGACGCTACCAGTACACACAGCCCCACTAACCACCCCAGCATCGAGGCCAGCACCGACGTCAGTCGCGACACCAGCATCGACGGTATCATCAAAGTCATCGCTCCCAGCATCGACCCAGCATAGACGCCCGCACCCATGCCAACAACGAGGACCGCACCAAGGAGACAATTGACTCCAGCGTCGGAGTCCGCCAATAGGCAATCATCGACACCGTCGCCGACCCCAGCGCCGAACCTCCCCACCACGACACCACCGAAGTCAACATCGACATCAGCATAGAGTGCAGCAGCGACTCCTAGCACAGGAGCATGCACCGATGTTCGCAACCACGCCACCGTCCAACATGGTGCAACTCCAGCAACCGAGACAGCACTTACGCCATCACCAACGAGCCAGCATCTACGCCATCACCAGCATCGACTCCAGCATCGACTCCAGCATCGACGCCATTATCGACTCCAGCATCGACTCCACCATCACGAACTCCAGCAGCGATTCCAACATCGACGCCAGTATGGCTTCCGAGCCTGGCACGACTGCTTGCTCCCGACGCTCCACGCCGACGGACGACCAGCAACGCCAACGGCGGGGGGCAGCAGGACCATGGCGGCTCCCCACCTTGCCCCCCACTAGACGACCCGCCGAGCGACCAGCAGCAGCACCGCGTGTCCCACGATTCCGAACGGCAGCAGTGCCATGGCACAACCAGCAGCACTGCCGCCAAGGCGGTGGCCAATACATTGCGCGGTGAATGGCCTGGGCCACTACAAGCAACCAACACTGGCACACCCCGCCCGCTATTGTCGTCGGGCTGCGGGACTCACGGCCCCCCGAGGCAAAGGCGAGGCCTTCCACTCAGTGACGAGCCTCAGGGCGTCGCAGGGGCTGCGCGGCATGCCCAGCAGCGCCCTTGCCCCACCCAGCGACAGGCAGCAGCACCACACACACAGCGACGAGGTGAATGGCCTGGGTCAAATGCAACGACACATCGACACCCACCCCGTGAGACGCCGACGAGCCGAACCGCGTCGCCCCGGACGCACCGTGCTCACAGGTCAGTTCGTCAACGAATGCTGCGCGAACGCCCTGGACCGCATGATCAGCGACCTGGGGACGGCCCTGAGGGGCCGGAGGAGGGCGGGGATTTGGTTAGTTGTGGTTTTGGGTGGGGGAGGCGCGCGCCGCCACCGCCGACCCGCAGTCCTCTCTCTCCGCTTCCTCCCCTCCTGCGTTCGGTCGCCCGTTCGTGCCCCCCTCGCCCTTTCCTTTCGGGCCCCCGTCCGTCTCTCCCCCTCCGTCCCTTGCCGGCTCTCTCGCCGGATATCGACCCATTTTCGGAATGGTCCCCGCCTGCTGTGCCATTCGGCACACGCAGGCTGGGGCCCTTGGCAGCGTTCGGAGAACCCCATTTCGGTCAGTGTTTCAGCGTTTCAGGAAGTGGGCGACAGTCAACCCAAGACTCATCAACGATGTTGCAATAAACCCTCCCTACAAGTTCCCTCTTCGTAGGCCCCATTCAAGGGCTCATTTTCATTGAGGGAAGTGCCCCGTTGTAAGAGAACCGTGCCGAAATCCCAAACTTTGCCAGAACACCATTCCTGGGACTTCAACGCCGCGAATCACCTTTACTGTTGCGTCTTGGCGGTCCTGAGTCGTGCCAGAGAACCATTCCTGGGACTTCAACACCGCAGATCAACGTGACTGATGCGCTTCGACATTCCGACATCGTGTCGAAACATTAATTCTGTGACCATGGGAGTCCCTGAAATTGCTGCAAACTCTGAAGACGCATGATCGCGGCGGTAAGGCGAAAACCATAGTTGAAAAAAGGGAACCGCCCTCCATCCGTGAAGATTTCACACATGTTTACAACGAGTGTGCGCGGCGCCAAAACGAGAACCACATTTTGAAAACGGGCCGCCCTCCATCCGTGAAGCTCTTGCTATTTCGGTATAGCGAGTGTACGCGGCGCTAGGGCGAGAGCCACATCCTGAAAGTGGCCCGCCTTCCATCCATCAAGGTGTTGCAATTTGTTCAAACTAATGTGCGCGGCGCTAAGGCGACAGCCACATTTTGCCCCCCCCCCCCCCCTCTCATCCGTGCAATTGTCGCCCATTTTTCAGATTCAGATCGCTGGTGTTGAGGAAGTCTCAGGCGAGACACCCGCCCCGCCCTTTCGCCCGGCTTCGGGGTGCGACAGGGAGGAGTTATGTTAAAAAACAGGGATGTAGGAGGAGAAGGATGAGGAGGAGCAGGAGGAGGAGGAGGAGGAGGAGGAGGAGGAGGAGGAAGAGGAGGATGAGGAGGCGTTTCTGGGTTCGTGCTCTTCGAGCGCTTCTCCGTCGCCTCCACCTCCTCCTCCGTCTCCTTTTCCTCCTGCTCCTGCTGCTCCTCCTCCTCTTCCTCGTCCTCTACACAGGTAGGCCTGGCGGGGCTGCTTGCGATGGCGCTCGTTGTGCCCTGGATCACGCTGTGGTCCCAAGAGTGGGGCGGGGCTCCGCGCTTAAAGCCGCCGTCTGCCGGCTGCAGGACAGGAGGATGGAGGATGGAGGCGCGAGACGCGCGGCGGCAGCAGCAACAGCGTCGGCGGGGGCTACAGCACCGAACCTGGCTTTCGGAGGCGCGGTTCGGTGGCCGGTCGCCTGGCATGCGTGCACGCTTACTGCTCTTGCGGGGCCAGCTGTCGCAGCAGCGGCAGCGGCAGCGAGCGCAGTGACCACGGCTGCTACAGCGGCGGCAGCAGCGGCAGCAGCAGCCACGGCAGCGGCGGCGGTCACAGCAGCGGTGGAGCCAGCGCTGGGGCCAGGGCCTTGGGCGTACATCCTCGTCGTCCACATCCTGTCCTCCCTGCCAGCTAGCTACCCTTCGTTACGGCTCCCCTTCTCTCGCGTCCACCCTCCTTGTCCTTCCTCCCTCTCTTTTCCCTCCCTGTGTATATCTGCCCTCTAGTTCCTACCTCCTCTCCCTGAACGGTCCTCTCCTCCTCTCCCTCCTCCCCGCCTCGCTCTGGCCCTCTACCTTCCCCTCCTCTTCCTCCTCTTCTGCCCTCTCTCCCTTCTTCTGCACCCCCTGTCTCCGTTCCCCGCCCCCCCGCGCCCGTCGGCTCCTCTGGGCGCGGGGCCACCGCTCAGGTCGTCGGCCAGGTCGCGACGTACCAGAGCCAAGACCTGCAGCGTGACGTGTCCCTGGACCTCCCTGCCCAGCCCCGCCGCTCCGATGAAACGCTCATGGGCGGGAGATGCGGCTCTCCGGGGCTCGATCGCCCTCCTCCTCCTCCTCCTCCTCCTCCTCCTCTTCCTCCTCCTCCTCCTCCTCCTCCCCCTCCTCCTCCTCCTCCTCCTCCTCCTCCTCCTCCTACTCCTTCCGTAGCCATTTTGGCTCAAGTTCGAAACGTGTGTCCCTGACGCTTCGAACTTGGACGCTGCCGAGGGGTGGCCCAAGCGTCCCATCTGAGGCCAGGCCTTACACATTTCCACGCTTCCCCGTTTCACTCCAGTCTCCAGGCTAGCGGCTCCACCTGTTTCCACTGCCACTCGATGTCCGCGCCCTCGGGGATGGAGGTCGTAGCTTCTGTTGCCAGGGCCGAGGATGGCTCGGCGGCCAAGCATGCGCGTGTCGGCGGCATGGATCCAGATATGATGGCCATCTTGCGCGAGACCCGCACCAGCATGGCGACTCGTGAGGACGTCTCGGAGATGAAGACCACCATCGCGGCTCACACCAATCATATTGCAGCGCTGGACACTCGGATGAACGAGCTGGAGGCGCGCCCACTGGTCAGTACTGCTGCGGCACAGGAGGCCGCCCGTGCAGATCTAGACGCTCGTGACACAGCCCAGATTCAAGAGGTCAAGGAAATACATCAGCTTTGCTCGCGTTTCACAACAGCCTCGAGTTCTTCGGCTGCATCAGGCTCAGGCTCGCAGGCTACACAACCATCCAGTGATAATCGCAAGGTGTGGATTGCGGGGCTTCCGCGACCGATGCTGGCTCGGGTGCTGAATGCTCATGCGGTTAGTCTGGTTGAGCGACACGTTCCCCACGGCACGCCCGCGGCGATCAAAATTCACAACTTCCAGACGGCGTACAGCATCGTGTTTGCCACGAGTGAGGCTGCCACAGATTTCATTACGAGAGCGCGCACGTTTGGAGTATCGTGGGCTGACCCACGCACCCTGGCTGAGATCGCGCTGAAAGTTCGTCAGGATGCTCCGCCCGCCATTCGGAAGATCAACAGGCTGCTCGGGATTCTGTGGACGGAGGTCAGCACCGTTGCCAAGCGCACCAACAAGTGGCAGCCGAACATGTGTCTGGGCTCACAGCCTCATCGTGGTGCGTTGTGGCTCATTGCGAACGAAGAGACCGAGCAGCTCTTCAAGGCATCGGGGCTGGACACGCCGCAGTTGGACCTGGTGCCCAATCTTGATGCGCTCAAAAGGTTCGGTTTCACAGATCAGTCCATTCAGGAGACGGTCGACGGGATTTTGCTCTAGGAAACACTTTCGCCATCTCAACAATCTTCCGCGGTGATGCATGTTCTGCTCGACGAGAAACGTGTGGTTGATAGCCGCGATGTGGGTGTCAACAGCGGCGTGGGTGTTCAGAAAGCTGTTGCGCTTCTCCGGGCGGCCGCTGGTGGCGATCGTGCTACGTCCCCTCCTCCGAGGGGATTTCGGCGCTCCCGTCCATCTACGAAGCGCTGTGCTTCTGCCTCGCCTGCCCGTTCGGCTTCTCGCTCCTCCTCTCGGACTTCTACGAGCTCGAGCGGTGCTACGGCCTCGGCCAGCCCCTCCTCCTCCTCAGTCCACGGCTGGGGCGGCCTGCCGCTGAGCTGTGTGCCGTTTCTTCCGTCTCAGCGGTTTTCGATAGTTTCCTGGAATGCACGGTCCCTGTTCGGAGCCCAGTATGTACCGCGCCACGCCCATCGAGCTACCATCAGCCAGCTTCTGCAACTGACCCAGCAGCATGACCGTGTCTGTACTCAGGAGGCCCATGGTGCATATGAGTGCTGCCGTGCTCTAGAGCGCGAAGTACATCTCCTCTCTGGCTATTCTACTTTCTTGAGTGGCCCTCATGCGGGTGGGGGTCTCATACACATTCATCGTCGACTTCGTCGGCTGTTCGATCACGCGCGCCATGCTGTTATCATGCACGGTCGCATACACTTACTCATCCTCTATAACGCCTCCCACGCCCTCCAGATCGTCGGCTTACATGGCGACCCTGGCCTCTCAGCGCGGGCTCGGACACTCCAAGTTGAGGATTTCCGGGGCTCGCTTCAGGCTCGTGCGAAGTGCGCCGCGGTAGTCTGCGGCGACTTTAATTTTCCTGTCTGCGGCGAAGGTAGCTGTCGAACCTCTGGGCGGATAGTTGTCCTGACTACGAGTTTGGGGAAGTTCTTTGTGCGGGGGTTTCCGTTTTTGAACGGGGTGGAGCAGCCCAATTTCACGCATAGTGTCGAGGCCTTCGTCGGTGGCGAGAAAACGGTGGAGTCCTCGGGTCGTCTCGATCGGATCTACTCGTCGATGCCTTTGGCGCTCATGTCGGAGATGTCTCCTACTTCTGGCACGATTGGGTTCGCCGCCGACGTCTCGCAGCTGCCCGACCGCGTGCCCGTGTTCGATTCTCTCGCTCCCTCTGGGCGCTCTGAGCACCATCGAGTGCAAACGTGGGTGCCGAAACATCTCCTGTTTTCCTGAAGTTCTCCAGGCGGTGATTGACGGCGCGGGCGCCTCCTGCGAGACGCGGCGTTCCGCGTGCATGGGCGTGGGCGCCGAGGCGGGGGCGGAGTGGGTGCAGGGCGAGCTCAGATGGTGGCGCCCTATACGCGGTGGTTGCTGGTCGGCAGTGGAAAGCACGATCTCCTTCAAGGTGCGCCAGCACTACGGCGGGGACAAGCTCCGTGATCTCGTGGCTGAGCGGGCGCTGTTCTTGGCCGAGGTGGCCCACCAAACGTCGGGCAGTGAGCCGCGACGCTTTCAGAGGGGGCGCCTGACTTCACATAGCAGCCCCTTCCTTCAGGATTTTTCTGCACCCCTCCACGCCGCGGCGAATCCGTTTTCCGATGACAGGCGACTCGGCCTGCCCGAGTTGCTCGAGAAGGTCGACCTGCTCCCCGGAGCTGGCGCTGAGCTGAAAAGAGCGGGGGGGGAGGGCGCGCGAGAGGACAGGGGGGGCGGGGGGGGGGCGCCGACGGGGCCCCTTGGCCGAGGAGCCCCTGGCGGAGCAGGAGCAAAAGCAGGGGGCAAGGAGGAGGGGGAGGGGGGGGGAGGAGGAGGAGCATGGGAGGAGGAGGAGGAGGGGGATATCTGCCCCGCCGCAGCATCTAAAAAGGCAGGGCGGGCGCAGCGGCAGCGTCGCCGCTGGCGCCTACCCCCTGGCACGGCTTAGCTCCATTCTGACGGTTCCCTCAGTGGCCTTGCCCTGCATCTCGGTGACTTTCGACGCCGCGTTCTTCGCGTGCTCGTCGCCCGCCTTCCGCCGCTTGTCGCGCTGCTTGGCGCGCGACTCGCGCTCCTCCTCGAATGTTTTGTTGGCCTTCACCTTGTCGCCCTCCGCCCCTTTCAGCCTGGTAATCCCAGTCTTCGCGAGATCGTCCGCGATCGTGGCGATCGCTTCGGCGTCATCCTGGTAGGTGTTCAGCGCATCGCAGACCTTGTCAAGGTCCTTGGAGGCCTCTGCGTACGTGCCCACGTCGGGGTCGTCGAGGATCTTGGCCCTGGCGGAACACTGCCTTTTCAGAACGGTCAGGCTCTTCAGCGGCCTGTCCACCTTCTTGCAGGGGGCCCTCGAGGCCTTGGCCGCATGCTTGGCGGCATTGAGCGGCTACGGTGCCGTTGTCCTCCTGCTTGACCTCGTCTCCCCCGCGCGCGCCCAGGGCGAATTCGAGCCGCCCGCTCTGGATAGCCTTCTTGCAGTCGTTGGCGCGGCTCTACAGTTGCGCGGCGTGCTTGCCCGTGATCGCCCTGCAGGTGCCCAGAAGGTGATCCCGCCCCCGTTTCTCGATCCTGCCATCCGATACCCCGTCCCTCGTTCCCTCCTCCTCGACGGCCCCGTTGCCGATGGGCCCCTGAGCGGGGAGGGCGAGGGGGGCGGGTGCGGGGCCGCCGTCCTGGCCTTCCCCTGGTCGACCACCCAGAAGTACCGAAACATCAGCCAGTTCGACTCGTCGATCTTGGGCGGGTGGGACTCCAGCGTGCCTGAGGCCACCTGGTTGCGGCGCACCTCCTCGGCCACGAAGACCCGCGCTTCTTCGCGGGCTTCAAAGTCACTGAGGTTCAAGCCGAGAAGCTGCAGCACCTGCCCAGAGCCGCTCCGATTCTCGTTCCAGCCGACCGCGGTGGCGTCGTCCTTGCTGCGCGTCTCCATCCATTCGTCGGTCCACTTCATGCTGCCGCGGGTCATGTTCCCCTTGCAGCACTCCACCATCGACTCCTTCTCCTCCCAGCCCAGCTGGTGGTGCATCTCCAGCGCTGCCGCTGCCTTCGCCGCCTTCTCGGGGTCCATGCCAGCTTTCTGCTGACGCAAGCCAGTCAGCATCTTGTTCGTCGCCACCTGGTCGCGGGCGCCTTTGGGGGCACGCTGGCGAGGGCTGCCTGCCTCGAGCTTGACCTCCCCGTCGCCCCCCGCCTGGCCCTCCGCGTCGGCCTCCGCCACGGCCTCGTCGGCCTTCGACGCGGGGGAAGCGGTCACGAGCGGGCTCTCGGACACGGCAGGGGGCGGCTTCGCTTGGCTCTTCGCCGCCTTCGGCTTGCGATCGCCCTCGGGGCTGTCAGCGTCGCTGGCCGCGGCGCTGCCCGCGGCGCCGCCCGCGGCGGCGGGCCGCTTCTTCGGCGCCATGCCGACCAGAAAGCAGAGCACGAAATCACCCGAGAGGGGCGCGGCTACCACGGCTCGGGGCGGGCGGGGGGGGGGGGGGGGGCAGTCGTGTCGGATGCTTCGGGCAGACAGGCTGCGCGGACGCATGTCAAGTCCCGGCCCGCCCCCCCCTCCTCCGCGCGTCTCGCCTGCCCGCCGACCATCGAGCCCCCCCGCCCCCCACCCCCGCGCCGCGCAAGTTTTTATTTTACATCATCCTGATAATGGGCCGCGCGCCGAACTTGTGGGCCACTCCGCGGCTGGCGCCAGACACGGCGACCGCGCTGCGTCGGCGCCCCGTGTTGGAGGCGCTCCCGCCGAAGTCTTCGCCCCCATAACA